GAAAAGTTTCTCCAGCGAGGCAAGAGTGACACAAACGAGGGCGGAGACGCAGTCTTCCAGGCGGAAAGCTGGCGTCTGGTGCTTGCGCGGACGAAAGGGCTGACTGGCGGATGGCGCAAGATACAATCTAGGTAACAGGTGGCGTCATCTGAGGGCATGAGCTAGAATTAGGTGAGCATCGGACGGGCGGATTGGTTACGTTGTACGGGAAGCAGAAGGTTGCGGCTTGAAGGATTGCGCAAGCGGTCTGGGGCCGGAAAAGGCACTGGGTGCTGGAGGTGTCCCGGCTTTTCCGGAGAAACGCCACAATAAAGCGCAAATTGCACAGAACACTAAACAACGGGGCTACGTACAAACAGACCCTTGACATAATGTAAGGTACACCAAGGCAATTTGAACAACTAACACATTATAAATCATGGTTGGCTATTAACCGCTATGGAGTGGCTAGATGAGGTTTCTTTGAGCAAACGGAAGGTCAGTAACGGCAGCTTCTTGCCCCTCCACAAGCACAACAGCCCCGTCTCCACCCTCTTGCCGCTTGAGGTATCCCAGAGCAAGGTACTCACACGAACTTTTGCCATCGTGAACATGAGGGCCATGGACGCAACTTGTGACCTTGCCAATCTGCAAGGAGGAAATATTAATCAAAATATGTCATCAAAACAATGGGGGCGAAATACAGGGACAAAGAGAGACGTTACCTTGGCTCCTTCCTTGTTTGTAATGATTGCACCAACAGAAACTGGGTTGGCAAGGCGGAGTCCCCAGAGTTGTTGCTTCACCCCATCATACGTGATCAGCCTAGCGATGGTCTCCTGGCCCATGTAGCACCCTGTAATCAGACAAAGCGTGCAGTCAGTCACCAACTGACAGCATAAGCAGAAAATGAGAGCAGGCACGGATAAACAAACACACATAAATTCCTTTATCTAAAAAAGGAGCTGTGGAGGGGAGGCAAGAGAGGGGGGATTGTAGGAGCAGCATGGCGCTCAAAGGAGAGGGTGCAAGGCATCAATTGGCAAAGAGCAGTTGGCAGAGACCTTTGGTGGTGGAGATGCATTGGAAGAGAGCAGCCTCCAGTGGGTTGAACTCGTCTGTCAGCTCCGACCCCGGCATGGGGCGCCCTGCTCAGGGCGAGCACAGGGAAGAAGATGAAGGCCGAGGCTTTTGAGATTTCCGGAAAAAAAAATTATGGGTTTGCTGAAGTGCGGAAGTGAGCACAGAGTTAAGAGACAGATTGACGGGCAGGTTTACAGGCAGAGAGGGTGGTACAGAAGGATGCAGAGGTGGAGAAGTCAATGGAAGAAGGACGGACAAGCATGTCTTGGAAGCATGAGGGCATTGTAGAGCATGAGGGCATTGTAGAGCATGAGCACCTTGCTGGACTCGCAGTCTTTCCCAGGCGGCTGCACCAATCGGGGTGATCCCAAAGCCATCGGTGAGGTGGCTCCACACACGGCCCGCCACGTCAGCTGACAGCATGAGCAGGAATCCAGGCACAGAGGCGCCCAGCCCACTGCCCACGCCCACTGTTGCCGGCGCTCCCTCAACCTGGGATGCAGGGAAGGACCACGGAGAGGGGAAGAGGGAGGGTGAGGGGGACACAGGGGCAGGTGCAAGAGGAAAGGCCTGAAGGAAGCAGGTGGAGGGGAGGGGGCAGGGGTAAGTTGAGGGGGTGGAAACAAATCAGAGTGGAGGAGCTTGTAAATTTCCGAAATACAACCAAGGGATGATACTGGAAAAGGTTTGTCAGCACTCATTCAATGTTCGCGTGCTAAAAAAACCGGCACAAGACACTTCTGCTTACAACAAAGTGTGTGCGCAACCCTTACAGCAAGTTGTGCATGCAACCCTTACAGCAAAGTGTGCATGGGTCCCTTCGGGCTGCCCCAGCAACTGAGTCAGACCAAGCTTCTCCACAACCTGCAAACCAGCCAGTCAGGCACGGCAGGCGTGCAGCCAGATAAAATGTGCATTAAGAGGTGAGCATGCCAGCAGCACATGTTAAACAACAGGGCAAGGATTGACAATCGACAGTCAAAACGTGAAAACATGTGCAGGAAACGAGAAGAGGTAGAAGAGAGACGGACCGTGGGTGCCTGAGGGCCAATGAGGGCAAGCAGCCTCGTTTGCTCTGAAATGTCCGCCACTGAAACCTTGTCCGCTGGGAAGATATACCTGGTAGGGCATGAGGACAAAAGGGAATAGGCAGTGCAAACATCCAGGTGGGATGGAAAAGGGGGATGGATGGGACGAACAAGAAAGGGGGGGATGCAAACAACGCTGCTGGCGGAGGGTGTGAGAGGGGTGATGGCCATATGGCAAACAGGATGATGTGTGGAGAGGATGGGATGGTAGGGGCAAGGAGATTCAAGTCGCTTGGAAGAAACGGTAAGAGCAGGAAACTGGCCTCCCCTTCCTTCAAATCCCATTTAACGATAATCCCATGATCCCTCCTATCTAACAAGGTAACCAGCGGTTGCAGCACTCACCGGTCCATTGTGGTAACCAGCTTCTGAGCTTTGCCAGGTGAGACTGTGAGAATAACAGAAGTGGACTAACGCAGCAGAGGAACGACAAATGGGAGGGATTGGAGGAGGGAAGTGGAAGAATAGGGAGGCAAGTGGGTGAAATCAATACGGGAACGAGAGTGGCCATGTGTTACAGAAGTGTAGCAGAACAGAAATGCCTTATCATTGAAAAGCAGCAAGGCAGGCACAGCGCTGAGAAATGGGTTCAAGCGTACCAATCATTATCCAAAGACATGGTGCTCACCATAACCCATGCAGTGGCGAGATCGATGGTTCGGGCTGTAGGTGACACAAACACAGTCATGCATCCCTGTAGTGCCATGCGAGCAGATGGCATGCGAGCAGATGACATGCAAGAACATGCCATGCAAAAAGAGGCCACGCAATGCAGTATATTGTTATGCGATGCAGTAGGATGTCATGCAATGGCATGTAGTGTCACTCGTGGAGGGACTCTATGCCTCAAATGAACTTTCCTGCCAAGAGAAAGTGCATCACCAGAAAACGATTTGCTGAAGGCAAATTATTTTAGCTCCCATGTATGTATAGGCCTGCATACACAAACAATCATTAACAGAATCCTAGCCTGCAAAAAATGGTGGTGCACGAATGCACTAGTGCTGTGCTTCAATGCATGACAAGATCAGTCCATAGTGGCAACTCGCCTGGCCAGGCGAGAGGGAGTTGAAATCAGCCGTGGTCTGGTTATGCAGGAACCGAATCCGGTCTTCCCCAGATACTGCCATGATGATGCAATTGGGAGGAGGCATTGTGGAAAGCATGCCACGTGGTGACAGTGAGGTCGAATCAAGCCAACCAACCAGGGTGGAGGGAAGAGGATAGCTGAGGTTGTGAAAGAAACAACAAGGGAAAAATGCGCTACAAGTTGGGGTCCCTGCATCGATGCTGACATGCTCCATGCCGTCCTTGCAATGGTTCTCATATTGCCTTCTTCCTTCTGTCTGCCACAGTTCCTGAGCTTGCAATTCCATCACCTGCTACTTCTGTGATTCTTGTTTACCTTTGATTCTGCCAAAGTGAGACATGTCGAAGACCTGAAGCAGGCATGAGAATCAAGACACAGGGAAACGAGGGAGCAGGAGAGGGGAGGACATCGCGTCATGCCAGAACGATGAAGTGAAGAGGGAGGAAGGAAGAGGGACTGGGATGCATGCAGGTGTAGCCGTAACAATGAAGATCGCAGTGACTGATACGTGGGAAGAATGATTCCCGGTTGGAACCGACTTGAGTGACATTCAATCAATGGCATGCGCCAGGCACGAGACGTACCGCGACGGAGTTGAGGGCTGCATTAATGGCGTCGTCATCGTTGTTGTTAAACGTCACAGCCACCCCTTCCGTATCAAACTCCGCTCCATAATCCTCCATGGTCTCCTGCACACACAGGATGAAGGATGAACTCTTCTTATGTCCAATTTCAAACAGAGCAATGTTGCTGTGCTGTTTTGTTACCAAAGCAAGGTGGTTTCAGGTGAACGCACCGTCAGGTCGCCGTCGATAGGCGGAGGGGCGAAGTCCATGTCAATCTCAAGGCTTGCAGCGACAGACACGTGGACCTTGGCCTGTGCGTTTCGTTCGATCAGTCGTCCTGATCCCACGCCTCTACCTGGAATACCGCTCGCCTGGAAAGATCATCGTCACGAAGAAGGACGGGAAGCTAAGGAATTCGATGAAATTGGCGACAGCGATACAATAATGCGATGCTGCGCGTGCACGAATCATCACATGAAACACCCGGTAGCTAATCACCGACGAATAGAACCACTCAAAATAAGGAAGGTCTTCCGCTTCATTGTACTGGCCCTTGTCGCTGACCTTATTACGAAGACCATCATATCGCGTTTGACGAATAGCGAGTCGCTGGGAAACAGTACTCCTGGCGTCGCTCTTGGAGGACAGCGCAAATGCGCTGCCTTTAATCGCGCTGGCCACAGCGGGAGATATCGCGGCCATGGCGACTAACGAGGCTAAACAAATCGTCTCTCAGAGTAGCGATGAAAGTGGGATGGCACGAAGAAATTCTACCCGGAAAGCTTCGTACCAGCAGGGAGAAATGGCGAGAGAGGGGACAGAAATGTGGCGCGGGGAATGTACGACAGGATACGTTTCATAAAAAAGATGCGGGTCAGCTCAGCAGAGTGCAATCCCGAGGCTGACACAAAATGCAAACACCGAGGTTCTCACGAAAGGTTCTCGAATGTTGATCAGAGGAGTGAACTTTTGCAGGAAACAACTTCGTACAGAAGCATGATGTACCACTACCGAATCTGCTCATAGAATGAGTGAAATTTTCCCGCACTTGATCCTGCTCAGGTCTCAAAACCCCCCTGAACACCTCTTTCAGCCCCAATCCCCAGATCGCCAGTATTGTAGTCTGCGTCCGACTTTAGTCTCCGTCCGACTTTAGTCCGCCTCATCCAGGTGAAGTAGGCAGCATTTCGCGCCATGGAGATTGACGCCGTGCATCTGTGCGGGCTACCAGGGGGGTTACAGGAGACCTCATGGTCAGTGGTAGGCACACGGAAGGAACCTCCTGGAGTCTTCATAGGGGCGTCGAAAGTCGACGATTTCACCATCCTGCTGTCCAGGCAGTCGGACGGCGCGTCCACATTCTCCGTGTCGTCTCGGGTGAGTTTCGGTCGTCGCGTGCCAACCTGGCGATCGTCATGTATCGCGTATGGCATCGTCACCCGCAGTCAGCACCCGATCGTCGCGTCCCGAAATGAGCAGGAAAATTCTTAGGCCGTATGTGGCTGAGCTTTTCAAAAGCGCGTGTGAGAATCGAGGAGGTTTTCAGTTCCCTGTTTTTAGTAATAGGAGCTGAACCTCTAACCCCGCACTTCTATTCGCGCATCCTTCGCGCATCTCCGCTCTCTTCCTTCGCATTCTCAAATCCGCGCATGACCGCTGGGATAATCGTAAAATTACTGCCTCATCTCGCTCCGCGTCCCTCCCTAATGCGTCCAGCCGCGTTCACCAAAGGTGGAACCCTCAACCCTGAACCTTCTCCTACATTCCTCCCCCTCTCTGGTAACCTTCTCGGCCCCTGTTTCCCCTTATTCCCCCCTGTTGGGTTGCCCCCTGTCCCCCCTGCTCCCCCCTGTTCCCCCCTGTTCCCCCCAGACTCGGCTCCGCGCGTGGCCTCTGGGTCCGCCCACGCACCGTTTCGCGGCCCCGTGCGTCTCCGACCGCGCGTCCCGCCACCACTACGCGCTGCTCCAGGGGAGTGCGGACGCGCCAGCGACGGGCGCACCAGGGGCGGATGCGCCAGCCGCGGAGGCGCAGGTGCTGGCGAGCTGGCCTTTCGGCGCGTCCTCTATTGCGCCCTCCGCGCTCCTGCACAAGACAGGCGCGGCGGACGGTTGCTACGTGGTGGAAGCTGATAGGCCGATCGTCCGCCTGTTTCCACTGACTGCGGCGGGAAGCGCCAACGCTGGTAAATAACCTCCGTGCGACGCGTCCAATGCCCGCAGTAAATGCCACCCCATGCTCCTTCGTCTCTTCTTCCCCGCGTCGTCACAGCGCCTGTCCCTTGCCTGCCATATCCTCTCCTTATGCCACACTCCGTCTCCACTCCACCCTCTGCCGTTGCTGCTCCGTTCCCCGCCCATCCCACACAACACCAGACGCAACGAAGCCTGCAGACGAGACCACACCTGGCACCGCCGCCACCGCTACCGCCACCTCTACCCCCGTCCCGCCCTCCGGGGGTGTTCTCGCCCTCTGCGCGGATGGCTCCATCCGAACCTACTCGCCGGACCTCTCCCTGACCTCATCGCTCACCGAGCCTGCGGACGGACCTAAGATCCGGGTGGAGGCGTCAGGCTCGGGGAGCTGGCTTGGGAACAAGGGGGATGGGAAGCGGGGGAGTGAGTGGGTCTTGGCAGTGGTGGGTGTGGAGGAAGGGGAGGGGGCGAGTGAGGGAAGCAGCAAGAGCGGCAGGGGCGGAGAGGCAAGGGTGGTGAGAGTGTACCACGTGGCGTGTGGTGCGGCGGGTGATGCGGCCATGGCTGATGTGGATGTGATGGCACGAGGCAACGGGCATGGGGATGTGCCTGTAGTGAAGGTGACTCTGTTGAAGTCCTTCAGAGTCAGGAGCCGTGGGCAGGAGGGGGGAGAGGAGGAAAAGGAGGAGGAGGAAGAGGCAGGAGGGGAGGAAGCAGGGCGTGCTGTTGTGTCGCTGTGCGTGGGTGATGCAGGCGAGATCATGGTGAGTCGCTGGCCATGCTGTGCTGTGTTGTGCGGTGCTGTGCTCTGATATTTGAGCCGCCACCTGATAATATTTTCAGTCTGTTCATGCATCCTTCTTTGCGGTCTTTCTATCCCCCCTCGTCTTCCCCAAAACCAGCTCCTATGGAGTGATGCCACGTGGCAGTGCTTCCCCAACACCATCCCACCCCAAGCCCCCAAGGACTCCGTCACTCTCCCCGCTTTCCTGGAAGCATCCCTGACACGAAGCCTTGCAGTGGCGGCAACACAGGTGGTGCCTGAGGGCGGTGCCACCCACCACCCAGCTTCAAAACCCTCGTCTTCCCAGGCGAGAGTGACAGCAGCAGCCATGGCTGCAGTGCCTGGGTCTCGCTACTGCGTCGTACTTGCTGCCAAGCCCCCTTCTCACACTAAACCCCCTCTGAACGCCACAGACAACGCAGTTCCTGCAAGTTTGCCGCTTTTCGCCATTGCCTTGGATACCCTCTTTGGCTGTGTGCACGCCTGCACCCCTCTCCCCTCCTCCTGCTCCCTCCCCGCCTCCCTCCCCCCCTCGCCCCTCCCCTTGCCGCTCATTCACGCGGAATGGGTGGGCCCTTCCCCAGAAGACGCCTCCCTGCTGGTTACCACGCCAACCACACTGAACTCCTTGCATGTGCACTGCCCCCCGCTCTCCCTTGCCTCGGTTCTAGGGGCTTTCCAACCCGCCGTGCCCCTGCTCTTGCCCACCGAACCTGCTGCCGAGCCTGCTTCCGGAGCAGCAAGGACTGATTCGGTGAAAGTAAGGGAGGTGCCTGCAGGTGTGGTGACTGCTGGGTGGGGTGGTTTGGCTGCTTCTGCTGCTAGGGCGGCTGGTTTGGCGCTAGCAGACAAATCTGGGCCGGGCCACAGCAACCCGCTACAGCCGACTGGGTGGTTTGTGGGATCCACATTGCATGACTCGGGATTGGTGAAGAACCTTCCAGGAAAGGACGCGGGGATAGAGGGCCAGGAAGGAGAGGAATTGGGAGGGGGGTTGAAGCCAGGAGTCGGGCAAGGGAAGCAGAAACTGAAAGAGAAGAAAAAGGCAAAGAAGTCGCGTGGGAAGGCAAGGTTTGGAAAGTTGCACATGGCCCTGAACCTGTCCCGGGCTGCGGACGGCAATGGGCGGCAGTGGTTGTCTTTTGTGGGGAGCGAGGCAGAGATGGCCTTGCTCAATGCTCTGGAAGGAATGGCTTTGAGGAGCGAGGAGGGGGTGGAGGGTGGGAAGGGAGTAGGGAGCGAGGGTGTTGAGAATGGGGAGGAGAGGGAGGAGGGGGAGGATATGGAAGAGGGCGAGGCGGATGAGAAGGAAGAGGAGATGGAGGAGGATGAGAAAGAGGAGGGAGAGGAGGAGGACGAAGAAGAGGGAGAGGATGGGGAAGAGGAAGCAGGAGAGGAAAAGGACGCGTACGAGCGGGCATTGGAGGAGGCAGATGGCTTGGCAGAGGGCGGCAGCACGGAGCGGAGGAGAGGGAGAGAGGGAGACGCATCCATGGCAGACCAGCACAGGCTGGCCCGTCTTATCCTGGACTGTGCCAAGCAGCTGACTGAGGAGAGTGGGCTCGAACCCCCAGCAGCCGCAGCCGCCATGGCTGCTCTGAGTTCGGACCACCAGTCACTTGCCGCCTCCGTGACCGAATGCGTGCGGCTGTTCTCGCCCTCGGTTGTGTCAGCGCTGACTCAGCACGCGCTGGCACGCTCCCACCGCATGCTGCTCCGAGCCATCGTCAGCTCCGGCCAGGTCACGTCGGCGCTGTGCCCGAACCTGGTGCCGAGCCTGGTGGCTCGGCGGGAGGTGTTGCTGCTAGAGGTGTGTCTGGTGCACATGGGCGACCTGCCTCCCAGACACCTGGCTCTCATTCTCCGCTTGCTGCTGCATGATGCCGTGGCTGCCAGTGAGCATGCATGCGAGCAGCATGCCAGAAGCAACGCAGAGAAAGGGAGAAGTGTGGATGAGGAGGAGGAGGAGGGGGTGGGTGGGAAGGGAGAAGGGGTGCAGGATGGGCAGGGGTTTGTGAGCAGCAGAGTGGCGGAGTTGAGGAGGCTGAGGGGGCGGAGGGCCGTGGCAGATGTACGTTCAGTGCTGGCTGGTGCTGCTACAGGGTCTAAGAAGTTTAAGAAAGCCAATCATGCCCGGCTTCAGTCCTCGCTGGCAGCTGCGCTGACATCATCTGCTGAGCTGGACGCGTTCACTGACGCCGAGCTCATCCTCCACACAGTTGTTGCCGTCCCATTCGACGATACGATTCTCGCTGCTGCCCTGGCGCCTCTCTCCCTGCCGCACGTCCGCTTCCTCTTCTCATACTTTGCCAAATGGGTGGACGTGTATGCGGCTCGGGGATTCGCTGTTGAGCTTCCTGCCTACTCTGTCTTCGGGGCGCAGCCGTTCCTCCCCGTACCGCGTTTGGAAAGAATCTTCGCGTGGGTGTCTACTCTCGTGGATTGCCACATCACCCGCCTCCTCATGCTCCCGGACTGCTTGGAGCCAATCGCGCGGCTCCACCGGTGCGTCATGCAGCAAGCAGCGGTGGACAGGAGGCTTACCTCGGTGGTTGGGTTTGTGCCGCACATTCTGGCGGGACTGCCTCTCCCGGAGAAGCACCCTGATGGTGGCAGTGATGGTATGGTGGGTGTTGAGGAATCTGGGTTGACTGTCCAGGTTGTGGAGTTGTGATGTGAGGTGTGTTGTGCTGCTGATTCCTTCCAAGTGGTGCTGTGTCAAAGCATTCATAGGTGTTGTGGGTAGCACTGAGAAGATGTTCCTTGATGTCATGTAACACGCTCGCCTGATCAAACCTTTATTTCAGCTTCTGTACCTCCACAGCAAATTTGATACCGTATACAAAAACACACATCTGCTGTTAATGGTGCATCATTCAAATATGAGTCAAGTCAGGGAGACGCTAAGGTCGCGGTAAAAGTGCTCGATCGGGGGGAGATCGATTCGGTCACCGCACTTACACCCCGCGTTCTGCATACGAAAGGTACACAACCGTGTATAACCGTGCTAAAAAACGATCTTGAGGAGATCGATTCTCCACTTATACCGCGTCCTAATAGTAGCAAATTTACAGCGATTGTAAGTGTAACACGTCGCGTAACCAAGAGGTGGTCCCATTGATTGGGCGGCTTCGTTGAGAGCTGCGTGGTCTGCCACGCAAGGACCAATCAGCGAATCATCAGCCTCCAAGTTCTGGAGTTTCGACCACTTGCACTTGCCACGCTCCGCTTTCTCTGCACTTTACCCAGCAGCTGGCTAAATACGGACTGAACACGTGTCAGGTCGTCACCTCCTCGCCACACACCGACTCGCCTCATCGGGATTCGGTCACTTTCCTCCACCCGTTCGGTCATCGCTCTCCCTCTCGATCTTGCCATCGCGATGACGCGACAATCTCCGTGGCTGCCAGTCGAACATCGGCCTGCCTCCTACTGAGCTTCCTCTCCTCTCTCCTCTCCTTCCCCTCCCTTCCTCTCCCACGAAATTACCCTCCAACCTCCCCGCTAAGCCCGGCGCAGCCAATCACGCCTCCCCTCGCTAATCGAACGGAACGACGGCCGCCATTGATTGTTCCTCGAACCTTGCGCAAACAGACAGCACGAGTCTGACCACTTTCTTGCCCCTCGTCCTTGGCGTGGAGCTTTACCGTAAATAGTTCGTTGGCCCCTGATTACTTAGTCGTTCCTAATCGTCATTCCTTAGCATCTTCGAGCGCCAGCCTTCGCATTTTCTTTACGAACTATTACTATATCAAGTGCTCGAGTTCTAAGGTCGGTAGGTTCGTACGGGCTGTCTTTCTCCAGCTGTCCTACCAGTCGACCCGTACTTGACTCATTGGTTCTCTTCAACGGCCAACTTATAAGCATAAATGGCTACAGCTGCGGCTGCACTTGCCTTCAATGTCGGCTCCGCGAACGCCGTCAATATCCTTTCCAGCCAAACGTCTTCATTCCGACTCCAAACTCCCTCGTTTGTCTCCCTACCAAACCTCTCCACATTTAAAGGCCGACAAGTAGCAGTTAAAGCCCAAGCCGCCGTGCTAAGTCCAGGTCAAGCGCCGCGCAGCGGCGTGAAGGCGTCCAAGGTGGAGAGCGATGGAGAGAACTGGTGGGAGAAGAACATGCCGCCCAACATGAGAGACCTTAACTCCACGCACGAATTTGTGGAGGCCCTGGGCGAAGCGGGAGACAAGCTGGTCGTGGTTGAATTCTTTGGCACCTGGTGTGGCGCCTGCCGAGCCTTGTATCCCAAGGTGAGTGTTGCGGGTAGATGTTTTGTCAGAGAAATGCTAGCCCAGCTTGAATGCACAAGTGGTCGGAGTTTGACGCTTCACAGCTTTTAGAGCTTCAATGCGGGCTGCTAGTGTGCTACTGTCATTGAGATGCCGCACGGAGTCACCTGGTGATCGCACCTGGATACTGACGAGAAACGTCATTTCAAACACAAGGTCAAAGTATGATCACGGATTGAACATGACGTTCATTACCCGAGTATACGTCTTGTTGTCATGCTCACGTATACACTTCAACGATTAATTATGGTTGCCAAAGTCTGGGTCATATTGCATCCAAATACAACGTTCCTCTTTTGTTCTCCCACCACCCATTCCCGAATCCCCAGCTTTGCAAGCTAGCGCTTCAGTACCCGGATGTTTTGTTCCTGAAGATCAACTTCGACCACAACAAGCCGCTGTGCAAGAGCCTCAACATTCGCCTCCTACCCATGTTCCACTTCTACCGAGGAGCAGAGGGCCGCCTAGACGCCTTTTCTGCGTCCATTGCCAAGGTCAGTACGCTATGCATGCATGTATGCTTCTTGCACCTGCGTTACACTGTTGCTTGTTATGCAGCTCTTCCTCCCTGCTATCATTCAGGCGCGTTGCAGTCCTTTCATACGATGTCTAATTTCTGTGGAGTCCTGTGTTGCTGGTTTTGCCCCTACAGATTCAGAAGTTGAAGGACGCCCTGGCAATCCACAGCACAGACAGATGCTCACTGGGGCCGCCAACTGGACCTGAGCTGATTCTCCATCCCGATGCACCTGTTGCTGCCCCTGCTGCATCTAAATTGTCATGAGCAAACCTAGGACTGGCTGCTTGATTATTTTTTCATCGTTTATTCGCTGTTTATTGTAGTTTGATTTGCATTGCCTCGTCAATAACAATTGAAAGTCCCTAGGAGACCAAACTGTAGGCGAGCTATTGTTTCACATGTGAACTCATACCGTATTCTCCCGGATAAAACACCCTAGGGTATTATGAAAACCACTGGGAAAAAATGGGGGGGGTCTCCTCAAAGGAAAATCCTACATAATACCCGGGTCTTATTATATGGTATATTTTTTATCAAGTAGAAAAGATGTGAAACAAAATCAGGGGCCTGACTCCACTTCAAGATTGTTGACCAGTGCCGCAAAACCGAATATACGAGGATAACGTGACCGCCCACTGGAATCTGCCACGTGGCAAATTCGAGTGGGCAATTCTGGCACTTGATAGGGTGAAAACAAAGCCAATTGCGTGGCGAGGGTTCATGCAACCGCCGAGGCCAGAATCGCGCACGGTGGTGCGTTCTTACTGTACCAGTCACTTCTTGACTGGTTTGGTCACGTATCTGTGCCTCATGTGAGAAGGTGATTTTCACCTATTGGGCCACTTGCAGCGGAAGATTCGCCAGCGTGGCGACAGCGAGATTGTGGGAGGGGGGGAATCTTGGCAGATTCTAAGTGAAAGTACATGAAATTTTTTGAAAGTGTGTAACACTTTCTAAAAATGCGTATTGTGAAAGCGCAGCTGACTGTATCGCAGCAAGGCAACGGCGAATTACAATTCGCCGAGTACATGACGAGGGTTGGAGGCCATTTTGCCTCCACCCACGTCTTCATTTGGAACTTGCAGTTCCACTCCATTCTCGTCCAACTACCCAGGTGACCTTTCTCTCTCGATTTCTGTTGACATTAGAACCTCGCATAGTAGGCACTAATTTCTGATAAGTTGTTTTAATTATTTATCAAGTTTAAGCCACGCGATTTCACGTCGACGGCGAGAGTTGCGACTACACCCGCGGGCAAGAAATCGGCGCCAAACCCGCATCAAATGAGCGCGCGACCCTGAGCGAACGCGCCACCAGCGAGCCTAAGGCGAACTCGCCTCTGGCGCACCTGGCGACACCATCGTCAGTCGCGCGACTGACGCAAGCGCCAGGCTCGCTACTGACGCAATCGCCAGGGGCGCGGCTGACGCAATCGCCAGGGGCGCGACTGACGCAATCGCCAGGGGCTCGGCTGACGCAATCGCCAGGGGCGCGACTGACGCAATCGCCAGGGGCGCTACTGACGCAAACGCCAGAGGCCCGCTTTTGATCCTGCATTAACTGGTTCGACACCAGCATTGCCACGCAGCTAACTCCTTCTACTATCTCAAGCTAACTTGTTATTTGTTGCAATTTGGATTCTCTTCCCGTTCATTCGATAATTCTTTTATTCAATAATTCCTCAGCCTTCAATTTTTCCTGGTGCAAGGCATAATTATTGGCAGGAGGCCAAGCATAACAAACTGGGGCAACGACGGCTACATCAACTCTTGGTGCACCCGCGCATGGTCCTTCACTTGAGAAAGGGGACCGAGGGTCCCGTGCTGGCCAGAGGGTGTGAAAAGGAGAAAGCGAATGAATGAACTATGAATGAAGTGAGTACATAAAGGAAACCCTAATTGGGTTGTACCCCCTATGGGATACCCCACTATAGCCTACACAACAGCATAAGCTATATATATGTTCTGACACACCCCCATAGGCAAAGTGGGGGAGAACAAGGGGTCACAAGACCAGTCACGCAAAGCACAGCAAGCTCAGGGTGGATCACAAAGTCACCACACAGTCCGAGCACAACGACAAGGCCACAAGGCCAGTTCACATGCAGGAGTGCACACATATATATATAGAGCTAGACAAGCAAGAGCAGGTATATATATGTGACAGTACAAGCAAGGTCAAGAGGAGAGCAAGTGAGGCAAGACAGGTACAAGACCCAGCTGAGTGCAGAAGCGCTGATGGTCACAAGGCGCAAGTGCCTTGGTGAACACATCAGCAGTGTTGGCCTCAGAGGCCACGTACGCAAGTCGCAACTGACCACGCTGCTGCAGCTCACGAGCAAGAAAGTAACGGAGAGCAATGTGCTTCGTTCTGTGCTCCAAGCGCTGCTCTCGACACAAGGCCAGCATGGCCTTGTTGTCTACGTACAGCACTGGAGGAGAACGAGGCGGCTCTCCAAGGTCAGTCAGCAGGTAGGTGAGCCAGCGAAGCTCCTGTGCAGCCATGGCCCCGGCGTAGATCTCAGCCTCACAACTGGAGCCGAGAACAGAGGACGAGCGTGTAGCCCGCCACGAGACAGAGCCGGAACCAAGACTGAAGGTGTAACCCTGCGACGACCGCTGCGTAGCCTGGTCGTCAGCCCAAGAAGCGTCCGCGTGCCCAGTGAGGACCACTGGACTCCGCCCTCCAAGCACTAGCCCCATGCCCGACGTACTGCACAAGTAGCGCAACACCCTCTTCGCTGCAGCCATGTGCTCTGGTCGGTGTCTCCCAGGAGCAACATAGCGTGCAAGAATGCTAAGAGGGTATGCAAGGTCAGGTCGTGTGCAGGTCATCAGGTACATGAGGCAACCAACAAGCTCTGGGTACGGGCCACTCGACTCTACGGACTCATCCGAAGGCAGAGCTGAGAGCGAGTGGCGAGTAGACAGAGGAGTGGCCTGAGGCGAGGAGTACGTGAAGCCGAAGCGCTGAAGGACCTGCTGCACCATGTGTGACTGAGTCAAGGTAATGGTGCGGCGTGCTCTGTCCCGAGTGATCTGCAAGCCAAGGTAGCTACGCAGTTCACCCAGGTCTGTGCACGTGTGTCTCTTCTGCAGCTCGGACTTCACGTAGGCTAGTCCAGCAGTGTCAGCTGTGGCAAAGACCAAGTCGTCGACGTACACGAGGATGTAGAACGGCGGCAAAGAAGTGTCGGTGCGCAGAAACAACGACGGGTCAGCAGTAGAGGGAGCAAACCCAAGAGCCGCAAGCGTAGTCCTCAGTGTGTCGTGCCACTCACGCGGTGCCTGGCGGAGACCGTAGACTGGCCGTCGGAGGCTCCACTGGGTGCCAGGAGGGAAAGTCCCAGTGAAGCCAGGTGGACGGCGCAGCCAGATCTCCTCGTGCAGGCTACCCTGCAAGAAAGCAGTGCTGAAGTCAAGAGAGTGGAGCTCGTAGTCGCGCTGAGCGGCTATGTGCAGTAGCACCCGAAGAGTGGTCATCTTCGGGGTGGGAGAGAAGGTCTGAAAGTAGTCAACTCCCTGCCGCTGACTGAAGCCACGAGCGACGTACCGCGCCTTGAAGACAGGTGGAGAGCCCGGCGGCCGCTTCACCCTGAAGATCCACATGCCACTGACGATGTTCGCCCCAGGAGGGGGAACCGCGTCAACGTAGGTGCCTGTGGACTTCCAGGACGCCATCTCTGCATCCATAGCTGCCTGCCACTGAGAGGAGTAGGGACCCTCTACGGCCTCCGCGTAAGAGCGCAGAGTCGGGATGTCTAGTGCATCCGGGTCTCCCTCAGGGGCAAGTAGTACGGACGCAAAGGAAGCAGATGAGGTGAAGCAGCAGCCAGACACTGGAACTCCTCCTGCCTGTCCTCAAGGACGTCCGTGCCAAGAGCACACTCACCCCCGACGGACGGAGGACAGACAGACGCAGACTCAGCAACAAGACCGGCAGCGTAGTCTAGACGACAGCGAGCAGCAAAGTCGACGAGCTCCGCAACAAGAGCAGACGCAGCAGTGGACTCAAAAGAGGGGTCAGTGACGACAGTAGCAAGGAGACGTGTGACAGTAGGACTGGTAGCACGAAGAGAGTCGGACTCTGGGTCGGTAAGTGCAGGAAGAGAGGACTCAGGAGGGGAAGGCAAAGGGGCACGCAGAGGAGCAGTGGACGGACGCAAAGACATCCGGTGCGTGCCAGGGACAGGAGGAGGACGCTGACGCGAACCGCGACCACTAGCGCGAGCAGCACGAACAGGCGACGCAGGACGAGACGCAGGCTCACGACGCTCAGCAAGACCTCCAGTGGGACCAGTGTAAGGAGAGGGAGCAGGAGGTGGGGAGGCGGGCTCTAACTGGGACTGTGACTGAACAGGCGGTGGACACGCTGCAGGAGGAGAAAGACCAAGAACCTGCTGTAGGAGTGGAACGAAGTACGGCCGAGGCCGCGCGGCGACTCCAGACACAGCAGGGACAGCACCCTCAGCAGCAGCACCAGCGCCAACCGCACCTCCAGCGGGAGGACCTCCAGCAGCACCAGCAGCACCCGCAGCAGGGCCACCGCCAGGAAGGACAGCAGCAGTCTCAGCACCAACACCCGCAGCAGCTCCAGCTCCAGGCGGACCCGAGGGCCCAGCAGCTCCGGGACCAGCGGCACAAGTACCCTCAGCAGCCGAAGGAGCTCCAGCTCCAGCAGTACGTCTCCAGCGGCGAGCAAACCACTCGCGCAGCTCCTGTGGAGAGAGGGGCTCCCGCCGAGGCGAAGCACCCGGAGAACCGCCAGGTCCCGCACCGCCAGACGCCACAAGGGGAGGTCCAGTGGCCGCAGGCTCCGCAGCTCCAGGCTCAGCAGCTCCAGACGCAGCACCCCCTGGCTCAGCACCCCCAGTCGCAGCACCCCCAGGCTCAGCACCCCCAGACTCCGCACCCCCAGGCGCAGCACCCCCAGTCGCAGTACCCCCAGGCTCAGCACCCCCAGACTCAGCACCCCCAGGCTCAGCACCCCCAGGCTCAGCACCCACGCGCGTAGCACCCCCAGAGTCAGCACCCCCAGGCTCAGCACCCGCAGCAGGACCAGAGTCACCAGCAACCTCGACCGGCTCGACTGCGTCTACCTGGGACACACCTGAAGGGGCAGGACCCTGAGGGGGAAGGGGGTCTACCGGGGGGGGACCTGGCACAAGGAAGTGCGGTGGCGGGGGGAGGGAAGGAGTGCGGTAGGGGAAGAGGCGGTAGAAGGGGACTGACTCGTCGAACGTGACGTCCTGGGAGGACAGAACA